CCCCCCCCCCCGCTCCCTCAGTGACTGGTGGCAGGAGTGGAACTGGAGCCAAACCCTGATAGCCTGAGAGGAAATGGGGGTTTAATCCCCCACATTGCAGGGGGCGGGGGCAGGCAGGCTCTACTTCTGCACCCGGGGCCATGGCAGCCAGATGCCAGTAGCCTGAGGGGAAGCGGAGGTTAATCCCCCCATTGCAGGCAGTAGCAGTGCAGGCACCAACAGAGCGCCCTGGGCTGAGTCCCTCCAAGGAGCAGCCCTGGCCGCGGGGAGGGGGGATTTGACTTGGCTGTGGGGGCGGGGAAGGGGTCCGAGGCTAGTTACAGAGCCCGACTTGTCACTGCCTCCTGCTGGCTACTGTCAAAAATCTGAGTTAAAAACTTAAGTAAAAACAGGATTGAGGCCAAAATCTATTTAAAACATGAAATCTTGCATGTTTTGAAAACAGTATTCTTAACAGATCGTCTAAAAATATAAAGAAAGGAGTGTGTCTGCAATGTCAGGCCTCAGTCCTGTACAGAACTATGCCTAGCACAAAACGGTCTTATTTGCTTCCATAGAACACTTCTCACATGCTGACATTTAATTTGGGTCTGAGTAACCACAATTGTCGTTTTATTTGTTGTGCTTATTTTTACTAAAATGTAATTTATATAATTAAAAAAAGAAACATTTCTTGGTTACCACAGGTTTTTAAAAATAATTATTTTTGGACTGTATAAAACTGAATTATGGAATAAAGAAAATGTGAAATGCTTAATCAGAACACTGTTATGTTTTTATTATTAAATAGCCATTAAATGAAAACCTCTTTATGGTCAGAAAGTTTATTGCTAAGAATGCGGTAGTGAGAATTGACATTAGCCCTGAATCTGTAGCCTTTCTGTAATCCATTAAAAGCAAATGACAGGTTTTTTTTTTATATGTGCAAAAACTACAGGAATCATGACACGCCCAATTCAGAACCCACTGAAATCAATGGAAGTTTGTTTCCTCTTTACTGGGAGATATAGTCAGCCTTTTCTGCATTATCATGTTGGCTTGGCGTTAGCAATTTGTTCTTTAATATGTTCTAAAATTAGGCACAGATCCTGCAAATGTATGCAGTTTGAGAAGCTCTCTTACCCACCTAACTTCATTCTTTGTAATTAATCCTATATACATTATTTGTGCTGTTTCTAGTATATAAAGTTAGTCATGCATATAAAGTCTTCACTAGATTGGGGCTTTAATATAGTCTTGCAGCTTTATAAAACAGGCTACAGTCAATATATTCTCTGGAAGATTTCTTCACAGTTGCATTCACTACCAATACAATCATGCATTAAATATATTCATACAAGTTTGATTCTTTTGTTCCATTGGATGGATATGCAGCTAATGTACTCTTAATACTAGGATATTATAGGAAATATTTCTCTGCTGGTCTAGTCCTGGGACAGCTGTATAATATATTTTCATGAGGGAATTCCTATTTGAGATAGACTTTTTTTGCAGAAGGGAAACTTTAGGAACTGGCAGGCTTAAAGATGAAGTATCAGGTGAGCTTTGTGCTGCAGTGTCGGTAGTTCTAAGTTAACAGTAGCTTCCAGACTGTAGGAGATGGTAAATTTGGACCCAAATTTAGTGGTTCTGTGCTCTATTGAACTAGGAATAGCCATCAACAATTGATGCTGTTCTGTAAATTGTGACAAACTTTGGTATTTCAAAATAAATATGACTTTTTTACTTTAGGTATAGTTAATACTATGACAGATTTAATTTCAGATGCCATGTCCATTTAGCACTTGCTAAAATGCTGTGGTCCAAATCTCCCAAGACATCCAGCATTACATTTTTTTTTTTTTATTATTGAGCAATTAACTGGGGAAGAATTCTGTACCTGAGCGTTGGTCAGAAGCATTGATGTGCTGGTGTTTATTAGACGGTGACATTTACTGATTCCTTCCTTCAACAAGGACAAGGAGTAAAAAACTTGCTTTAAAACAAAAGAAAAGGGCACATGTACTCAACCTCAGTAATAGCCACACAAAACAAAGGTTCCAAAACAATCTGTTTTAACCAATAAAGTAACTCCTGAAGGAGAAGCAATCAGTTGCTAGCAATCTGTGAAGGAGCAACCGTCTGTTCTGTGAGCTATGGCAATTAAAATGGGAACTGAGAGCGAGAACAGGAGGCCTGTCGAATCCCAACAGGGCTGAATGCATCTCCCACTGGTTAAAACAGCAGCTTTCAAAATTTTTTAGTTCTGGGACTTCCCATCATGTCATGAGAAAGTATCATGGATCTGAGAATAGGAATTTATCATATCTTGCAATTTGGGAGGATTCCCCTCCCTGTTCTAAGTACTTGTAGTCTGCCCAGTTTTTCCTTTATTGATATCATCATTGTGTGTTGAGGAGTTCCTAGCATGGGTAAGACTGCTGCCCCTCTGCCCCTGCTCTTGGAACCTGTGCGCTTTCCCCTCCCTTGGAACCATGCCCGGCCCTGCTCTGCTCTCTGGACTAACCCCCGGTCTCAAAATGCCCCTACCCTCTGCTCCTGCTCTAGGAACCTGCGCCCCCCTGGGCACCAATTCTGCTTGTTAGGCTCTGCTGCTGACTTCCTGATCCACCTGAACATCTTCATCTCTAACACCTTCATGGATAAATGTTGTTTCTTCACTGCCCAGCAACTCTATCCGTACAATAACACCACTGTCTTGTGGATTTTTTCCTTCAGATGAATTGGTACTTTCTTGTCACAAATCACTCCACTCAGTTTCCTCCGTTTCCTCAATGCCTTATTTCAGGGATGGGCAATTAATGGCCCATGGGCTGGATCTGGCCCACAGGGAGCAGGGCATCCTCCACAGAGTTCAGCAATGGGAGGCTTTGCCTGCACTGGGGCCAGGTGGCAGGGCAGCAGGGAGCTTCCCTGTGCTGCACCTCAGACAGTGCAGAGAAGCAGCACCAGACTGCCTTGGACCCAGGCTAGGCCATTCCAGCCTGCTTCTGGCAAGCATTGCTGACACCTTCTAACTTCTGTGTCTGTCTGTTGTACACTCAGTTATTGTTCACTTGGATATTAAAAGTGCCTGTAGGTCAGATATAAGAATGTAACAGTAATTGTGCCAAAAATAAAGCAGCCAGCTTTCAGGGAGCAAAATCCTGGATGCTCCACAAACCTCCCGTTGAAGTAGTTTATATCTCTTTTTTTAGTTATTATTGCTGTCTTAATGCATCACTGTAGACAAGTTGTTAATTCTGGAGAGGAGCATAACTAAGTAGCCAAGGTGCAGTACCATAAGAATGCAACTATACTGCTTTGGGAAGAAGCATTATCAGCCACCTCAGACACCTTGTGCTATGCCCTTTCAGCAGAAGCAGTAAGACACTGCTTAGCACCTTTCTGGGATTTTTTTTCAGATTTCAGGCAAATGTCCCATTTCAGTGAGTCCTTGGGGAAACTGGGACATTGTCCTGAAATTTGGGACTATCCTAGTTAGTCCAAGATGATCAGTCCCTTTACTCCTAAACAATTTCAAGTGTAAAATTGCACCCAGAATTTTTGTAAAAAAAGGGAGTCAGCTTTTGAAATCTTTCAACCAAAACATTTTAAATAAGTTAGAAACTGATAATTATTGTTTTCAGAATTGTTAGGCTGGTCTCTCTGAGGAAAGGCAAAAGCAGAGTAAATGGGGAGCAGGAAAAGGAATGACTTCTTTGTTACTCAAACATTTTTGCTCAGAATTTTAGAGGAGCAAACTCATCTGTTATTACTAAACATTGATTTTCCAAATAGATGTGTATTCTGTTGCTGAATCCTAAGAATGTTACTGATCTCAGAAACAGAAAAAATGAACTGTCTCCCTGGCCAACATGTTTAAAATACTTCTTCCATTTTATTTTCTTGTGGCTGACTCTTTTTTTCTTTTTTCTGAAATTATCTGGGGCAAACAGAATTTTAACACTTTACTTCTTTATTCCTAGGAGAAGTGTAAATATTTTTACAACACTAGGTGGAACATTATGGTGAAGTTTAAGAGCTCTTTGTTGCACATGCAGTACACTAAATGTCATGTAAATGATCATCCAGATCTCCATGGGAGAAAATATTTGTATGGTTTTTCCCTTCAGACTCCTGGGCTAGAGACAGAAGTTACACATAAACTGGTTTAAGTGATCAGAAACTGGTTTAAACCTGTAACAGAAAATAAGCTCAGTGCACAGAAACCAGTTTCAAAATGGCCAAAAACAGTTTGAGATAAACCTGGTTAAATGTAGTATCAGACTTAACTGATTGAGCTCAAACTGCTTTATGAAACTTCTGTCCCAGGTCCATTCCTGGTTTAAGTTAAACCAGAGTCCCCCAGAATCCCAGCATGCTCTGCAGCCCAAGCGGGGGAGGGGCGGGGCTGTGCTCTCTGCTCCAGTGGAGCAGGGCTGGCCCTGTTCCTCTGCTCCCTAGCTGGAGCAGGGGTGGGCAAGGGCGATGGCTTGGCCAGACACCGCCCCCCCACAATGCAAAGGAGGCAGGGAAGTGATCTGTTCCCCCCCTCCCTTCCATGTTCCACCAGCACGGACTTGCCAGGCATTTTTCTGCTCACTGCTCCAGCAGCAAGGGCGGGGCCAGCCCCGGCAGTAGCCTAAAGTGAACAGGCCTGGGAGGAGGTTTAATTCCCCCCTCCTGGGATCTGCCTGGTACTCCCTGCTCACTGCAGCGGCAGCAGGGGTCGGGGCATGGCCAGAGGCTGGCTAACGTGGCCCTTGTGGCAGAGGGGGTGGGGAGGGGGTTTATTCCCCACTCTGTCCCCAGGGGCCTACAGCTAGGGTCTGCCAGCCATGACTGCTGTCATCACTGATCAATCACTGCATGGGGCGAGCAGCGAAATACGCTCCTTCCCTGCGCCCTCCACTAGACGCTGGAGAGATGGGGGGATATAACCGCCCACCTTGCCTCCTCACCTAATGGGGCCATGCCAGCTGGCCTCTGGCCGTGTCCCCACCCCTGCCACTGAACCCCCCCCTTGGCCAGTTCACTTGAGGCTACTGCCAGGGGCTGGCCACATACCACCCCACCCCCCCAGCACAGCTTCCCTGCAGCCAAGGGCACACTCTAATGCCCCCTGGCTTCTGCCCTGAGCCACTGTAGGCATGTGCCTGCACATCCTGAATGTCTGTTCACTTGCAAAGTGATTCAACTTAGCCAGGTTAGACTAACCTACAAAGACTGAATCAATTTAGGCTCTGGCTATTTGAATGTCTATCCCTAGCCCTGAGGCTTTTTCTTTGGCTCAGTAGGAAACCCAGCCCTAATGAGAAGCCAACATTCAGTGGTAAAGGCATTTGAACACAAGTTGTTTTCTTAGGTCCATGGTCCAATTAATAGAACAGCACCAATACAAGTTTATACTGAGGATAAACAAAGTATAGGTGTATGTTGATTGCTTGTGTGGAGAATGCTTCACAAAAAGAAGACCACGTGGTTATTCTTATCTCTGTTTCAAAGATGTTTGAAAGACAGATATGAAGGCGATAAACACTGAGCCAAATTACTGAAAGAAGCTTGCTGAGGATCAAAGCTCTTGCAAATTGTCTATTAAGCATGGAATGAAGGCACTGGAGGAAAGAAGAGCCCAGCTAGCTGAGGAAAGAAGAAACCTCAGGAAGAAACCCACATCATATTCAGGACTGTTAGATATGAGCTTCATATGCGATAAGTGAAGGGACTGTCATTCAAGAATTGGGCTCTACAACCACACACACACAGATGTTTAATGAGTTGATGCCTTATTTGGTACAAATCTATTGTCTCGCGAGACATGCAGATGCCTATATATGTCTATAAATAAAGACCTCCTTTCTTTAATGGCCATGATACAGTGTCTGATTTACCACAATAGATAAACTATTACATTGCTAAGTTGGAGACACTTATTCAGAAGTCTGAAGGCTTAGTTACTAAAAATTATATATGTGTACTTTCCATAAACAAAAAAACTTACATTATAGTTGTAAAGTCTAGCACTCCAATATTAGAAAATACAAAAAGAAAAATTGCTGGTTCAACTCTAATTCATACCTCTTGTGTGTATGGCATAATACAGTCCTCAATTCAAGATTCCATACCATTTCCTCCCATCAGGCTTTTCCTATCAAACCCAGTCTATTTCCTCCAGACTCTATCCTAGTTACTGTCTTTCTTGTCACTTTCCCAACTCTCGTCACATTCTTCTCATCCCTGCCATTCCCAGTTCCCATCCTCACTTTCCTAAGCCCTTGTTCCTGCTCTCCGTGTCACTCTACATCTATATAGCACAAAATAAAAATATCTTACTTATTATTTTACCCCTTTCTGTTCAACTGCTGAAGTTTTCTATAAATCTGTGCACTATTTACTCAGAAACAGTATAGAAAAAAACATTTTTCTGGGCTTTACTATAAATAACGGTTTTTGATTGAATTTGATGTTTTATTTTATGTTTATTCTTGTTGAAATTTTCTCTTCTACAATATGAAACACAACAATAAAGTATTTGTGTATGTGTTTGTAGGCTCTACCAAGATCCACTAATGTGGTTTATCAAGCTCATCATGTCAGCAGGAGTAAGAGAGGACAAATTGTGGGTACGAGAGGTGGATTTCGAGGCTGCACAGTTTGGCTAACAGGTATTATTATGACTGAAAATTAATGTGGAAAAATTGCTCATTACTAGTGGATAACTGCAACTTGAAACCCATAAACACATGTCAGTAAAGCAAGTAGAGATGTCAGGAGCTCGGAATTTCCAGTTTATGGGAAACTTCAAAATGTCCAGTGAATTGGAAATTCCAAAATATTTTCATTTTAGAAACTCCATGTGTTGGTGTTTATATTACTGCTAATTCTTTTACTTCCAGAAGTGACTGGAGCAATTGAAATTGTGTAGCTGCCAGCAACAGCTCTTCTTTTTTACCTGCTCCCACAAGTCAGTGCCTGGGGCAGTTTCCCCTGTCAGCCCACCCTAGATATACTACTGATTACTGCTTATACTAAAAGAAATAGTGACTGTCTGTTACTTTAATATTAAAAGAATTGGCTAAAAATGTAAGTATATCTGAGGCCCTTTAGTCAGCTTTCCTAGATTAACAATAGTCCTTGGCTAGAGACAGAAATTACACATAAACCTATATAAGTGATTAGAAACCAGTTCAAATCTGTAACACAACAGGGCTAGGGACAGATGTTACACATAAACCAATATAAGTGATCAGAAACCAGTTCAAATCTGTAACACAACAGGGCTAGGGACAAATGTTACACATAAACCAATATAAGTGATCAGAAACCAGTTCAAATCTGTAACACAACAGGGCTAGGGACAGATGTTACACATAAACCAGTTTAAGTGATCAGACACTGGTTTAAACCTGTAACAGAGCAGAAGTTCAGTGCACATAAACTGGTTTCAAAATGGCCCAAACTGGTTTAAGATAAACCTGACTGAATGTAGTATCAGACTTAACTGATTTAGGTCAAACTGGTTTATGGAACTTCTGTCCCAAACCCCTTCCTGGTTCAAGTTAAATCAGTGCCCCAGCATCCCAGCATGATTTGCAGCCCTGGGCTGGGCTGTGCTGTCTGCTCGAGAAGAACAGTTAGCCCCGGCGCTCTGCTCCCTAGCTGGAGCAGTAAGGGCTGACTGACATGGGGTTGGGGGTGGGAAACCCAGCTGGCATACCCTGTCTGCCTGGCATGAGCAGAGCAGCCCCTGCCAGACTTTTCCCTGCTAGAGTGGAGGGGATGGGGGGCACGGGCCAGCAGGCTCAGGGGAAGGGAGGGGGATTAAACCCCCCTACCTCCACTCTCCCACCCACATGGGACCCCACCTTGGGTCTGCGCAGCTTTCCTCCCTACTTGCTGCTCTAGCGGCTCAGGCATGACCAGAGCCAGCCCAGGCAGCACCTCAGACTGGCTCTGGCCTGTTTCCCCTCTCTCCTACCGGCACAGGGACCCCAGCTGGGGTCTTCCTGACTTTCCACCCTGCTGGCCACTCACATGGTGGGAAGCGTGGCTGGAGCCAGCCTGGGCAGTGCCTCAGGCGGAGGGAGGGCAGGCAGGGGGATTAAACTCTCCTGGGGTCCCCATGCTGGTGGGAGAGTGGGGAAACAGGGGAGTTTAATCCCCCTCTCTGCTCCTCCTTTCACGTAAGGCTCTGCCCAGGCCAGCTCTGGCCATACCCCCCACCAAATGAGTGGCCAGAGGGGCAAAAATCCAGGCAAACCCCGGCTGGGGTCCCCATGCCAGTAGGAGAGAAGCGAGGTGGGGGGGTTTAATCCCCATCTCTCCCCTTCTTAACCTGAGCTGCTGCTCTGGTCGGTGATTGGCCATGCCCCCCTCCCTTGGGGACAAACCTGGCAAGGGCTGCTTCCCCCTTTTCCCTCTAGGCACACCCCAGCTAGGATCCCTGTCAGCCAGGATGGGGGTTTAAACCCCTCCCCAGACATACTCAGCAGCCTGCCAGGGCCTGGCCACACCCTCTGCCCCAGCTCAGCTTCCTGCCAGCCTTGCAGCTGCTACAGAAGGGAAGGGAGGGCTTGCTCTAGTGCCCTCCAGCTTCTACCTTGGGCCACTGCAAGTATGTGGCTACATTTCTGGAATCAAAAGTAAATGTCTGTTCACTTGCTTATCAGTTCAGTCTATGCAGCTTAGACCAACCTGTGAGGATTGAATCCCTTCAGCCTTGGGCTTTTTGACTGTCTGTACTTAGTCCTCGTCTGTTAGGTGACTATCTAATGAAAATCATATGGACCATATCATCCCAAGCCAGCCTTTCTTTCTCCAACACAGATACTAGGGACTGCTTATGTGCTGTCTAAAGTATGTACAGAGGGATGGATTTGGTACAGGAAGTGGTTGGAATTGGACCTGATGTAGGGCCTTTGAGTGTCATAAAATATTGAACTAGTAGGTTCTGCACCTCACCATGGTACATCTCTGTGAGGGTACAGATTTCCTGTCCAAGTTGTCTTGGCCTCCTGCAGAGCTCTTGAGGTATAAGAGGTCTGAGTGAATCTCACTCATGGGGAAAATAGGGCACCAAACCCGCATTAGCCCCAACAGGATGATGTTGTGAATCTCTGTGACGTAATCTTCATGGAGTTAATGTGCCTTTAAAAAGTCCCCTCTTTTGGTTTTATAATGAGAAGGGATGATCTTATTTGGGCTAATGTCTGTCTGTATTTTCCAGTCTGTTTCAGGTATCTAGTCTGTTTTCTCTAGGCATAGTTGTATAGAAGCTGTTGTTGAATTACTCATAACCAGAAGTTGATTAGACTACAGTTTTGGCTTTCTCTCTTTTTAATGCTGAAGATGAACCTCCATATTGCTTGCCTGTCCTCTCTTATAGGTCTTTCTGGTGCTGGTAAGACAACCATTGGCTTTGCTCTGGAAGAGTATCTGGTGTCCCATGGCATTCCTTGCTACTCTCTGGATGGGGATAATATTCGGCATGGCCTAAATAAAAATTTGGGTTTTTCAACTGATGACCGAGAAGAAAATATCCGCCGTATTGCTGAGGTTGCCAGACTTTTTGCAGATGCTGGTCTTGTGTGCATAACTAGTTTCATTTCCCCTTTTACAAAGGTAAATGTATTGAAATCTATTCTGATATATTACTGTAATTTTGAAGAAAGGAAAAATTCTAAACAGAGTAATTTATATTGTTGCGGACACTCCTTTTAATTTTTCCCTCCTGTCATTTTAAAAAAACTCACAAGAATGCAAAAGTAAATTTCCTAGGTCCAAATTGCTAGAATGCAATTTAGCGTGACATATTCATGTTAAAAATATATACAGAAAACTTGGAGTCTATTTAAAGGTGAAAAAAGTGTAAAATCTCACTGAAGAGACTCATAATCAAAAGTTTCTTGAAAGAAGGAAAACTGGAATAAAAACTACAGGTTTTTATATTAACATCACATTGATATAATTCTAATTCATTTCTATTATACTTAAAATTAATTGTGTGTCATAATACCAGATGTCTTCTAATGTCAAGTCAGTGCAGCCAATTCTAGCATTCTTTCTTTAAAAAGAGGCAAGGTTACGTAACAAATGATTGTTCAGATTTAAAGATTCGGCTATCCCAAATGACCTATGAAAAAACAGAATTGAGATCAAACTAATGATTTTTATTAAACATTCAAAAGATACATTTTTCTTAACTGGAATATATTTTTATGTATGAAATAAAATTATAAAGAGGATGAATTTGGCCATACCTTTAACAGGTAAATTCAACTCCAGGCAGATGCTAGTTGCCAAATAGAACTGTTAGCAACATTTCAGTGAGAATTGACTTATGATCTTCCCTCTTGCTAATAACAGGATCGTCGAAATGCAAGGAAAATTCATGAAATTGCTGGACTTCCCTTCTTTGAAATCTTTATAGATGCTCCTCTAAATATTTGTGAAAGCAGGGATGTGAAAGGTCTTTACAAAAAAGCAAGGGCTGGAGAAATCAAAGGTACGATAATCAATTAGTTATTTTTAATGCTATCAAAAAATCTTCTTTTTATTCTCTCCTTTTCTTCTCATCAGTAGTGGACAAAGATAAAGAGAATCAGAGTTGCTACCTCTTCAAGTTAAAGGAAGAAAGTCAGCCACCTTTGGAAGATGAAGGAAAGGAGGGGAATAGAAATAAGCTAATTTCTACCTTCTAAATCCTGCAGATCCCTTCCTGCAGCAGCTTCTTTACCCCTTGCTTCTGTCTTCAAAAATACCTCTCTTTTTTGTTTCTGGCTTTCCAGACAATAATAAGTGGTCTTTTCAGTACTGACCTCAACACATTTCCAGAGGTAAGCAAATAAAAGTTTCTTTTGTAGCATGGAAGATCATAATTCTCCGATTTTATTAAGTGCTTTATTTATAGAATGAGAAGAAGTGTCAAGACCATTTTTGAGTATGCAAACCTTGCATGACAGTCTATTTCCTTGCCATTTCTACAGTTTATTTGACACTTAGTATATTGAGTGTTGTATCAATCAATTTAGTTTTGGTTTACTTGTCCATAGGATTCACTGGGATTGACTCATTATATGAGAAACCAGAATCTCCTGATCTAGTATTGAAAACAAATATTTCTACAGTGAATGACTGTATTCAGCAGGTTGTGGAGTTGCTACAAGCACAAGTAGGTGATATTTTACTCACCCTGCCTACTGGCTGATTCTAAAGTCTGTTTTCAGTTGTTGCCTTTCTGGTATAATTTCTGCTTAAAAAATAAGGCGTTAACTGATTTTTTTTTTCTTTTTAGAATATTGTTCCCAATACTGCAATTAGGGATGTTCTTGAACTGTTTGTACCTGAAAATAAGATTGACATGGCTCGTGCAGAAGCTAATGCACTGCCTGCTGTGGAAATTACCAAGGTGGGCATTGTGAATGCAATGACACTTTTAAAATTTATTTTACCTTTTAGGTTTAGAGGTTAGTAAACTACTGCCCAAGTTACAGTACCAAATATATGTGTATAATCCCTTTGATTTCTGGTTGTTATAAACTTTAGTACTATATGACTATGATTAGTTAAAGGATTAGCATTTAATTAAAAATTAGTAACATGACAGCAACAGGATATGAATCAAACAAATAAATAGGAAAAAATACTTTTTGCATAACTTTTTCTGTGCGTTATGTTTCTCTTTAGTATTAGTAGATACTGTACTATTACAGTTATATCATTCGTTTTGGGATGCCTGATTCATAACTGTGGAACTCCTTTTTCAAATGCTACAAACCCAGCACTTTGAAATTCAGATTTAGTCTATCAGTTCTGATTAGCATCATAGAAACAATGTTTTTACTACCTCTGTTTCCATCCTGATTTTATCTTCCAAAGAAGCATTCATTATATATGAAAACAGAATTCTATCATGATATAATCAGATTAAAACAAAGTTGATCAAAATTTACAACATAAATCTTTCAAAGAACCGCATATATTCCATCCCTTAAGTTTGACTAGTGACAATTTAATAGTATTTGTTGCCAGTACTCTTAGAGTCTCACAAAGAAAATTGAAAAATAATCTTTGTGATTAAAACTTTTCATGCTGAGATATAGTTGAAAGATTGTTTTGAAGAACATATCTAAATGGACAGAATTTTTTGTACAGCTTCTAGTATGCTACAGCCTGTTTTGCTTGTGCTGAGGCTTATAAATATCACTAAGCTTCAATAATTTGGCCAAAAATTTTAGTTGGGTCTCAGCCCCACCTTTTTATTATGGGTGCTTTTTCTCTCTGTAAAATTGCCTCTGTGCCCTTTCTTATTGTAAGCAAATTATAGGTGCAATTGTTAGCAATATCATGGAAGCAAATAAGGTTGCATGAATGTAAGTGAGGACAGTTTTTGATCCACAGTCTTAAAAAGACTTTGAAAATCCATTTGGATAAAAGATTTGCTTAAAACACTGGGCCCATCTACACGTTCATTAATGTACCTTACATACTGCACATTTAGTTTAGTACTTCCTTAATAAAGTACTAATTAAATGTTCAGTACCTAGATTTACTGCTCAGTAGCAGGAGCACATGGTTATTTAGTGACACACTGCGCATTAGCCTAATAACACTGCGCAGTAGGCTATTAGCATAGTTTTTGCTGTGACATGCTACTGCGCAGTGTTATTAGGTTGATGTGCAGTAAGTGTCTCATGTAAACGCGTCCAGTGATTCTCAACCACAGTGCCCTGCAGTGATCCCAGATCCTTTGAAGGGTGCCACAAGGTGTGAGGAGATAAGCAGACAAGCACAGGCTCAGGCTTTCCCCTGCCTGATGAAAGTCATCCTTGATGGTGTCTAATTATATAACTGAATTTGCTTTTCAGTTAGACCTACAGTGGGTCCAAGTTCTGAGTGAAGGTTGGGCCACACCACTGAAGGGATTTATGCGTGAGATTGAATACTTGCAAGTGATCCATTTTGGGACTCTGCTGAATGGTATGATTTCTTGCTTTTTACATTTTTCAGAGTTGAGTAATAACTCAATTTCATTGATTGTGTCTACTCACATAATGAGATGATACTGACAGTAAGTGAGAGAGGCAAAATCAGGTGATGACAGCTTGTACAGGATGAGTATATTTTGACTGTAAAAGTTCCCATAAATTGAGTTCAGTGCTGGTACCACTCTTTTTCAATGTGTATGGACTGTCAACATTCGAACTACAGCATCACCAGTATGTAGCTGACACTCAGAACTACACATCCCGCTTATCAGACTCACAATGGTTGTGTTTCTGTCCCCAGTGGGCATATCTATATGAGATGCTTTACTCGAGATTACAGCTAATTACTGTGCAGTAAGTGTCACTGTCTACACGTGTTGATGCTTACTGCGCAGTAATTGGCTGTAATCACATATAAATTTGCTACCTGTAAGTATATGCAGCATCTTTATTCTCGATTACTTACTGCACTTTATGGCGTATGTGGATGCTCAACCAGGAGCAACCTTGCTTCTGGCCAGTCAGGCAGCAGGGGGCAGGAGATTGCTCCCTGCCCCTGGGAGCTGCCTGCTGCTGGGGTACCAGTGCCTAGGCGGAGACTGTGCCCCGGCAACAGGGAGCTCCCAGCCCCCACTCCCTGATCACAATCGCAGAGCGGGCATTGGGGAGCCTGCCTCTCCCCTGCAGCTTTTTCCATACCCCCTGCCCCTACTGGGGAGCCAAAGGCAGGTGCTCCCTGGTGCCTCCTTGTAGCAGGCAGCCCCCTGGAAGCAGAGAGCAATCTCCCAGCCCCTACCAAGAGACAGCTCCCTGCCAGCCCCTAGGCTAGCACCCAGGGGGAGCCTAGAGCTCCACCTGACTGCTGCAGGGGGCTGGTGCAGGGCCAGAGAGGGGTGGCCTACCTTTTTGGCAAGGCTGCCACAGGTTAAGCTCCCATTCTTCTCTACTGCCACTCTGATTTATGTTCCCCAGAAGTGTACCTGATAGTGTTTGCAACCTGGGGTGCCAGAATGGAGGCAGGGAGGCTCAAGTCTCTAGCCATATGGAACAGAGCACCTGGCAGGATGCTGCTCAGAGATGAGGTGTCATTGCCAAGAGCCAGGTTAATCCTTCTCTGGCTGTACAACCACTCCAGTTTTACATGGCAAATGGGGATCCAAAGCCCTTAATTTGGCAGCAGCAGCTGTAGGGCCACTTAAATCTTAACTTAGCTCTTGGAAGAGACACCTCCTCTGACAGAAGCATCCAGCTGCCTTTCTGTTCTGTGCAGCCAGAGGCTTGTGTGACTCAGTTTACCTCACTTGCTTGTGCACAGAGAATGAAGAATTGAGTGCCAGGTCTAGCTAGGTACAGGACAAGACCAAATGGACTTTAAGCGTCAACAGTCTTGAATAGCTTTGTTGACATATCAATGAAAGTGAGATCTCTCCCTCCCTCCCTCCCCCCCTTCCCCATGCCCCCCCGCCCACACACACACCCTGAGTGTGATAAAAACATGATAATGGGAGAACAGGTTGGAGGAAGCAACCTGTCAGCTCTTGGCCAGAAGGGTCTGGAGACTGAGAGAAGTAGAGGAACTTTGGGGAGATGGAGGGACTGGAAAGGGAACAGCAGAGCATTTTTGTGGGTGCTCAGGGCTATGTGAGCTGGATTGAGAATGGAGGTACTGCTTAACCTCTTCAGAGGGAGGGTAGAGCAGAGAACCTTTTGCTGGGTGGTCTTTGCCCAACAAATGCCTTCACTGAAAATACTACCTACTCTGCTGCTTCAAACTGTGGGTCGCACTAGATTATCTGACAAGAGGTAAAGTCCGTCTCTCAGGAGCAGAACTGGATGCTAGCTCCTTGAGTCGGGGCTGTGGAGAACCAGGGAAGGTGCGAGACTACAATATGCAATAGGCACATAGTGCTTTCAACACTTTGCCTGCTATGGATTCTTGAATATTCGATTTGTTTGAGTTGAATGCAGTACATGTTCCTAAAAGAGCAAATGAAAAGATTAACCATCAGTTGTACATTTAATATTTGCATTGAAAGAAAAAGAGGTTAAAAAAGAAAACATCTACAGTAAAATTATGCCATACCTGTGTGGGATTTAAAATTAATTATTTGATTCCTAACACTGTAACAATACAGTTGCTGGGTTTTTTTGGTTTTTGTATTGGTTTGTTGTTTTGCAGGGGTAGGGGAGAGTTAAACATGCATGTTAATTGTATTTGTATTCCTCCAGGAAAAGGTACATGCAGTATGTCTGTAGTTGGTATGTATTTAACTATTTTCCAGATGGCATGGAAATTACTATAGTTAGAAATTTTATCATAAAATGGTTAAAATACTCTGTCAAAATGAAATCCAAATTAGAAGACTGGTATAAGCATCAGTTTGTTGATCCAACCAGTTATACAGTAACCCCATGCCCCAACATTGACTGGGTTTGTGAGAATGCTAATTGTATAACTTACATAAGTTGTACATGGTAATATCATAACTTATTGCTATTTTCTTTATTGTATTTGACAGTTGAAAGTAAAAATGGGAATTCCTAAGCCCCAAAGTATTTGTTTAGTATGTTAATTTTTTTCCATATTGGCTCTTCAAACTAACTATTGCACATTGACTGTTTCTATTTAATGAGTAGACTTGATGTGGATTGCATTTTTTAAAATGTATTTTCAAAATTATGATAAAATCCATCAGACAGGAAGATTTAAAGGAAGGAAAACTTACCTGATTGGATCACACATGACCGCATTTTTAAACATCTGATCATGCATGAATTTAAATTTGTTATTCATTTTGATGAATGATAGACATTTCGTGTATAAGAGATATAACGTTTTGGAGGATTTTAAATACCATGAGTAAAAATCAGAACAAAATCATTAGAGTCTCATAGCCAGCTTATCACATTCAGTATCACACTTGCTGATTTGTTCAATGTTTCTTTTTTATGACTGTAAGCCATTAGGAGGGATATATTATTATTTATTGGTAGTGGATAGTCATATATCCCAGCAAAAATAGAAATACCCTAACCTCAGGTTAAAAACGGGAACATTAAACATCTTTAATTAATACTGTGAATGACATAATTAAACCTCTGAAGAAAATATTAAAGATCAAAATCTTGCTTGTATACTAACCTAAAAAATGGACTGGACTGCAAACTTTTAAGGTAAGGTATGGAATAAGTGTGTAAAGATATCAAGAAGGAAAAAAAATGATGTGTGACTACTTTTTTAACCATCGAGAAGTAAAAGGGGCAATTCAAGTGATGGTGATGCAGTAAAATTCAGTGAGATTTTTATATTGCTTGTTAAGGTAGAAATTATTGGAAATGGGATGTCATTAGTAAATTTCTACAACAGGACATTTTGTGAGTGGAAATTGATATTAGATAGAAGTTTGTTAGGACATCTAAGCAACCTGAAAAAGCTGAAGTGTATTAAATCATTGGGCTCCTATACACGATGGAGCTCTACTCCAATGCTTGCTAAGTAATTGAGTCTGCTGGAGTGTGCTAATTAGCAGGCTTCAGCAGCCTCCACATCACATGAATTCAGCATCCCTGCATTACAAAATGGCAGCAGGGGTGCTTTAACTAAAGCTGATCAAACAAGCTTTAGTTAAATCACCCCACTGCCATTTTGAAGCGCGGGATGCTGAATACACATGACGCTGTGGGCACTTTAATTAGAGCAGCTCTCAGAGCCACTCTAATTAAAGTGTCCCGTGCCCCTTCCCCCCCCCCGCCCCGCCCCAGAGCACATGTATAGATGCCCATTGTGATCTATTTGCATGGAGTCTGAGAGTATGCAGGAAGCACTTAGGTAACAGAAGTATGGTCAGGGATACACCCAATCCAACTCCTGTTGAAATCATTGAAAGTACTTCCATTGATTCAGCAAGAGCTGAATTAGATTCTCCAGGCTGATTCCTGTTCCTGTTGAAGACAGTAAGAGCAGAGGTGGGCCTGCTCCATCTTTTGCACTTTAATGCCAAACCAGAAGGGGGGGTTTTAGTTTTGGTTTTGTTATTGTGTGTGGAGTTTGTTTTTGATTGTTTTCATTTTTGTAGGAGCAACATGCGTATTTGTAATCTGTCAATATAGTAATTAAATACTAGCTAAAGGTGGCCTGGCTTGGTCCATCTAATTTACCAGAATTTCAAACAACTCTGAATAAGGCTTCTTATTAGGGACTATTTAAAAATAATTAAAACTAGCTCTGGGAAATACGTAAAATATTTTTGGAGGTTAAATAATAGAAACTAAAGAGTCCAGAGACTATACTGAAGACATTTTAATAATGAAGTATATCTGAAACTGGTAAAAGAATATTATTCATTATTTATTATTAATTAATTATCTGGGAATAAAATGGGCAAAGAATAAATATAATTAAAACTAGCTCTGGGAAATACGTAAAATATTTTTGGAGGTTAAATAATAGAAACTAAAGAGTCCAGAGACTATACTGAAGACATTTTAATAATGAAGTATATCTGAAAATGGTAAAAGAATCTTTATTATTCATTATTTATTATTAATTAATTATCTGGGAATAAAATGGGCAAAGAATAAATATAGTTTATAAATAAATAACTAAATATTTGCCTGTCATGAATACCTTTTGCATACCCTCATACTAATGATACTGAGGGCATTTGCACTGTTTTCAGAGGAAGAATTTAAAGATGCTGCCATGTAAAATCACTGTTTTGTTTTTATTGAGTTCCCAGAGTTGGTATATAACCCAGGGTGTACCAGTTCAAGGCCCTGTCTTACATTGGTGCAGTGCATCTATATTTGATGCCTTCACTGGAGTAGCTACATGCATGCAAGAACCCCTGATTAAACATACCCTTTGTTTAGTGGCAGCTGCTTCTAAAATGTTTAATATTGTTAGTTATAAGCTGTTCTCCATGCAGCCAGCCATCTTTC